TTGAGATTGGATGTAGATGCCTTGTCCTTGCCAATACAGACAGCTTTCCTAATATTGGTACAGTACGTCAGGGATAAGGTATTCTTGGAGAACTTGATGAGATGTTGACAGAAGGGAACGGTTGAGGCGTGCTTACTTAGGACAGTGTCTGCATTGGGCATACCACCTATCGGTCGTTTGTTCCTTGTGGAGTGGGTGGACATCAGTCCGACAAAATTTAGGCTGACAGCAAAGTGAACAGAGTCGAGGCATCATCTATAGCATAGCAACCAAATCAAAATAGCCGCATGATAGAATACTCACATGAAAATAACCCCAAACCGCTGGCACCGGCTTTGTGCTTCTCCCGCCGATGGTACGCATCTCCTCTTCATCTGACGTGTCTGAGATATGAATGGGGGTTGTCATTGGTTTACTTGAATTTGCAAAAGAGCTACTAGGGCGGGGTGAGGTGTTTCTCTCCTGGGATGCTGAGGCATTCGGACGCTGCCGTTTCCTTGACTATCAATAGGTCCAAACTGAGGTGTCAGCAGCGGTTGTCAAGTAGGAGAAAGTATAGGTTTACAAACAACATCATCTTACCTTGTATGGCCGAGAGGATTCTGTCCTGTGTGTATATCCAGATGCAGAGCAAAACGATTCCTCCTGGCTGTCAGACATCTAAGGTAAAAGAGAGTTCAGGTTCAACATTTGCGTATATGCGACTAATTGCTACACCCAGAAGAGACTTTACCATTGTTTGACTGTCATCGTCAGGGTCTTTCCTATGTTTCTGTTGGCCTTTGCTGTTGCCGTTATCACTGGTCGGCTTGGCGACAGCGGAACTAGGAGCAATGGTGCTGGCTGAGACAATGGAGGACCGTCTAGTGAGAGAGGCTCTGCGGCCCCGAGGGTTTGTTGAGGTCAGGAGGGAAGATGAGGAGGGGGTTTCACCAAAAGATGGCCGATCCTATGCCGCAGGAACGGGCATTAAGCATTAGCATACATGACCCGTAACTCGGCTAAACAAAGTCGCTGCACATACCGGAAGGATATCAGCATGCGTGCCTAAAGTGTTATAGCCGTCACGTGACGCGTCGCTACTCCCGCGGGAATCCCCCTCGGAGGTCCCTTCGGAGACACCTCTCGACATCCCCACAGGGGTCTACTTTTACATCTCCCATAGGTGCTTATTATAATAGGCTCATTGTATGTATATACTTCATCCGTTATTACACCACTACCCTTAGACCTAGCCCCGCGTAGACTGTTAGTCCTTCCCCCTAATAGAATAACGGATCATCCTCTTCTACCCCGGCTAGCGAATTTTCCTTCCTTCGTCACTTCCTTTTTCACGTCCTTTTCATCCTCCTTTCGACACTCCTTTCATCATGTCCGACGACGGCCATATTCCTTCTCCTCCTGTTCCTCCCCCCGCACCTTCTCCTATGGAGGAGGCACTCCGACAGATGGCGCAGGCCATGACGCTCTTCGCTCAGAGCCAGCAGCAGCCTGTCGGCGGTCAGGGATCAAACCCCTTTCGGCTCGCCCCGCCGGGACCCTTTGATGGGACTGATACCCCGGACAAACGGGAGAAGGCCACCACCTTCATTCATCAGTGCGAGATGCACTTCGAGACCGCACCAGCGGTCTACTCTTTGGATTGGATCAAGATCATCTTCGCGTCGACCCACCTTCAGGGTCGCGCCGCCTTATGGGCCCGGTCGTACACGTCCCCGGAGGCTGCACAACAGTGCACCTGGGATGTCTTCCGGACTCTCTTTCTTACTTCTTTTGGGTTAGCATCCCGAGAGTACCTCGCCGAAGGGGAACTCTTAGGGTTGCGACAAGGGAACACCTCGGTCGGCGAGTACACCGCGAGGTTCAACTCCCTTGTGGGTCTTATGCCGGGATGGAACAACGCCGCTCTCCGGGGAGTCTTTCGTCATGGACTCCGGTCGGATGTTGAGCTGTCGGTTCGTGCCCACGATGGGTACACGGAGATGTCCCTCTTGGACATCCAGAACTTGGCCGCTCGATACGATCGACCCGCCATCCCCGCTGAACGACCTCGCCGGGAAACTCCCCGCGCACCCACCTTTCAGCCTGCCGAGATGGCAGCTCCTTTTCCTTTTGCCCCGGGACCTCCCCCGGTTTCTTCTTCTCTTCCTCCTCCTCCCGTGGACCAAGGTGGTCCTATGGATCTTTCGGCCGCCCGGCAACCTAACCCCGCCGTCCCCTGCTTCAAGTGCTACCAGATGGGACACTTCGCGAACCAGTGCCCGAATCCCCGGGCACCTCCCGAATCTGCCCCAGCCTGGATCAAAGCAGCCAAGCAGAGGCATTCTATGCAGGTCGCCGGCGCCACCCTCCAACCCTCCTCTTCCGCTGCGTCAGCCGGGGCTGCGTACGACCTCTCTGCGTACGAAGACATCCCACTGTGGACCCCCAACTAGACGCGCCGGTGTCTCTTATCTTCTCTTGTTTCATGGTACCCAGGCCGGGTTTATTACATTCATTTATGGTCCCTCAGTCCGAGGTGTTTTTCTTTACGGCTGCTCAGTCCGAGCGTTTCTCCACGGGGATCTTCATCCTCCTCACCCGACTACATGTCGGTATGGCACCCAGTCCGGGATTCTTTTACGGTGGCTCAGTCCGAGTCTTTTATGGTGCCCAGTCCGGGTGTTTCCTACGTCCCTTGGGATCGGGTCGGCTACGTCTTCTACGAGCCGTTCGGGGTTACGATACCCCCCCTCCATCGCGTGGATTCTTTTCTTGTCCCCTTCGGGGTTTTGCGGTTGCTCAGTCCGAGCGTTTTCTTATGGGAGTCACCCCCTTCTCCTCGACATCTCTTCTTCGAGGGTAAAGCCCATCTCGGGCAGATTCTTGTTACACCCCTTTGGGAGTTCCGGTCGTTTTCTTTTTCGGAGTTGGTCATCGGGACGATGACCTAGGGGGGGGATCCTGTTATAGCCGTCACGTGACGCGTCGCTACTCCCGCGGGAATCCCCCTCGGAGGTCCCTTCGGAGACACCTCTCGACATCCCCACAGGGGTCTACTTTTACATCTCCCATAGGTGCTTATTATAATAGGCTCATTGTATGTATATACTTCATCCGTTATTACACCACTACCCTTAGACCTAGCCCCGCGTAGACTGTTAGTCCTTCCCCCTAATAAAAGCCTCATTGAGCTCGTGAAAGTAAGCAAGCCAGACAGGGTAGGCGTAGTCTTGTGTGTATATGATGGTTGCTAATTGAGTTTCAACACCAGGCTGGTCCCCTCTGTCGTGCACAGTAAGGTCTGTATTCTTGAACGCATACTCCAGGGCGATCAGACGTTCTTGTTCAGGTTTGTAGATCCTCCAAATCTTTGTATTGCTGGGAGAAGACATGTTATGACCGAGGATTGATGTAAGTCAGGAGAATCGAGATAATAGATGTATTTGCGTAGACGGGGTGTTCTAGTAACAAGCCATTTGAGTGGGCCATAGCAATATTCAGCATCGCTCACAAATCTGTTCGCCAGCTTTTGTTTTGATTACAGCACTACTGTTGGCGTTTGGTACAAAGTAAAATGAAAGTAAATAAGTCGGTCTTTTGGTGATAGGGTTGCTCCGTGTCTAAGCTGTTACTGAGTGTAGGTTCGGAACTCAGTTGATAAGGTCTTTTTGCCGTCTTGTGACTATCTATTCATCACAATGTTTCTGTCATCCAGTATCCAGTATTCACTGGGTTTTTATTGAAACTTCATCTGAAATACCGATACTGGCAATAGCAAAAGTTCTGTACCAAACCAAAGACCAGAACCTGACCGATCAAATACCGGCCGGTATTTTACCAGAACCACATAAGTTACCGGAACCGAGCCAGCCCTGAATATAAGCTGGCCCTATAAAAACTGACGGCTGCTCTTGATCGAAAGATGCGACGGATAATTACACTCGACCCGTACTCTAGACCACGATCAGTAGCACGAATTCTATTGGGAAATTACCGGTGATAAGAACCGAACAGTAATATTGTTGTCCATCGTCTTTCAAGGGCGCTGGAAGACTGCATGGTCCAACCACCCCGGTATTCCGTACCGCAGATACAAGATCGACACAATCGAGCCCCCAAAACAAAATCGGGTCGACACCTGCCAGGTGTATCTTCCCAGCTCGACAAGGCCGAAGAGCTTGTCAGCGAACGGTCGGACATCTCGGTCTCAACAGGCTCATTGCCCAACAAGGAGAGCAACCGTTCGGCACCCTCAAGCACGGTTTCTTTCGATGTGAAAACGATGAGTTCGATGCCGCCAGAGAGCGGAGACGAGAGCACGCAGCCTGTTGAAGACCATTAGATGGAGCGTCTCTACCTATGTATGACTCTGACGGGTCTGGTCCCCTGCATTTACTGTATTTCTGATCGTGCCCGTATCACCTTGTATATGTCTAGAATGGCATCACCATAGGAGAGGGATGAACGTCCGTTCTTTCTAGCCTAGTACAGTTCCGGTGTCGAATCGAGTGCATATACCCCTAACAGACACATCAATACACTCCATTCAAGTTACCTAATCCTTCTTCGTCCTTATATCGTTGTCATCTGCATGACGTCTGACTTTGGTTTGAGGCAGGATTTCCTACCTTTCTCCCTTTTTTTCAGCACTGTATCATCCGAGAGGCGTCTAACGGGCTCTCCGCTGGCGCAATACCCAAACCCTACAGAGACGGGAACTGTCTGATCATCCATATGTCCATCCTACATGAGCCTAATTCTTGCTAGGAAAGGAATCAGCAGGGAAGCCTGTCTCTCATGATTTATCAGCAGATTTTGATCACCATCTCCAGGACCGTTGATCAGCTGATAGATGACATCGCAAGAACCATCATTGCCATTGACAAAGGAAGGCTCTTGACCCTTCGCCTTTCTACTGGTAGGTCTACTCGCTGGGATCAACGTATAAGTGAAGCCACGATTTCTGTGGTGGACCGAGCTACATTAATTGAATTGTTTCTCCCAGGGCTCTGCTTACGATGTCGTTCACTGATATAGCAAACAGCGTGACAGACCACTTGAGCCGCTTGACATCGAAATCTCAACTGCTAGAGCCTCATCTCAAATCATACCATGAGGTCTGGGCCGAGGAAGCTGAGAAAGTGGGAAAAGCCTTGCGGGAGAGCTTCGAAAGTCTGGAGACCCCTGTCCAGAGATTGAGAGCTGCGGCACGTAAAGACTATTCCCAGGCAATCAAGCGACTCAAGAAGAACATCCGGGCCGGGTTCAAGACCAGATACCCCGGCGTTCAATTGCCACACGATATGGAGAAGCATTTGCACATACATTGGATAGAGAGGCCGCTCACTGACATGCTCACCCCGTGGGATGAACCGCCCGTCGTACGCGAACTTGTCATCGAGCAGCGGAAGCACTATTTCTCAGGAATACACGACGCATACCGGGTCATTGCAGTGGTATACCACAATCATACGGAGGACTTTTGGTCCCATGACAAAAGCTCTTCGAACTACCACTGTCAGAAATGGTTGAACGGGTTGGATCTCAGCAATGTCTCCGAAGCTCGTAGCCAAGCGTCCGTTGGCCCCCTAGATTCGATCGGGGTCCTTCATGATTCGACCGTGCCTGAACACTCAGTAGCAGTCAACCAAAGCGCGGATGTCCCTACGTCGGAGCTGGAACCAGCTACTAGCTCGTCGATCTCGTCGATCTCGCCGTAGGCTTTGTTGAAATATGAGAAGATCCTGCTCCACAATGTCTGTAGCTTATTGATTTGTCATTAGGCCTTGTTCTGTCTGGTTCTTGATTGCTGACACCCGAATAACAGCTGTGTTGGCAATGTTAGATATTGAGCATTTGTGAGATTTCAGTTCTCTCAGTGAATTAGCGCTTCTTAGTTCTCGGCTTATGCTTCACTGAGCCATTCTTGCAATTCGCGCTTACGCTCCGTCGCCCATGATCCTACGCGAGGACTCACAGTTTCGACCCAAGCAGGCGGAAGGTATTCTGTCTGTGGTTTCAACGTAAGCCCTACTCGCGCTGGAAAGCAGGTCCGCAGGAGTGGGCAGATCGACCCAGCAGCAGGAAACCTTCTCGAGCGACATCAGTTTTGCCCTTTGATGTCCAGCTGATTCTATGTGAACACTGCGAATCATCAATCCTCAGCTGTTAATTTGAGACCAGTTGGTCCCTTGATTTCTCATAATCAGTCAATCACATGCTATTTTCCTCTTTCCGAGCCCCTCACCAGGCGTGATTCCAGCTTGTGACCACGGGGCTGAGAAAGAGAACAAAGGTACTCGATTCCGCAGGCTTATGTGAAAGACGTAGAAGACAGGGGAGGAAAGGTGATCATGTCAGGCGAACATAAAGCCCGTCCCCCTGCTCTCTACTTAGTATGAAAAAAATCGCGGAGACATTGCAAGGGCTTGCAACAGAATCTTCGGACGAGTGCCAGAGGATGATTTAGTATTGTGGATGAGGTCACGCATCGACTCCAGCTCACAGAGGACTGAGGTCGCGCTGCCCTGGTCACCTCAAACCTGAATAGACTGGAAGAACGAAAACCTGAATAGACTGGAAAGATCTTGGACCTATGCTTGAGGCGGATACGAATCTAGGTTACGTATGAGGAGGTGAAACACAGTATCGTGACTGAACCCCTGCTTCTCCGGGCTGAACTTCCCCTTGAGATTGAACAAAGGAAGACGACTCTTGCTAAAAGGCCCAGCTACGGGACAACCATATATCAGGGTGAGCAGATTCTTCGATTCAACGATCATCATCGTGATGATCAGATGGAAAGACTATCAACTATCCTTCCTGGTCTTTTGAGTCTCAAGCTGCAAGTATGGGCGACCGCGATGAGAAGTTCGAGAAACTCGATTCGGAGAATGTCGAAGCTTATCACGATATTCGGGACGTGTGGTGTCGGAGATTCTCTGAAAGAGTCCGTTGCATGATCGATCGCGGGCATCTACGACGTGATGCAGAACATGAAGGCAGAAAGTTGGAGTGGTGGCAGGATCAGCTCCTCCAGCATCTGCGCTGGACGAGATCTGACATTCGGAGGGGATTCGCACAAAGACATTACCTACAGACACTCTGGACATCCAATAGGGTTAGCCGTCGTCGCTACCCCCCGGACGGTTTGGAGGATGGCTTGCGGCTCGAGTGGCGAGACGGAAAAGGGAGACTCGATCAGGACACAAAAGTCTTGTTCCTCGTCATCGATACAATTCACGCCTCAACGGACACAAGGGTTGCGAAGGACTTGAAAGGGGGCGAATGGTCCGTAGGTGATCTCGACAGCCTGGAGGCCTTGTTGCGTAACAGCTCTCGAGGATGGTTCCAGAATTTGGTATCCGCCATCTCCGGTATGTCAGCTCCCGAAAGCATAAATACGACACACACCAACAGTACGGACAGCAAGTCGAACACCGACTTAGTGACCGTCGACTCAAAACCTGCTGGCGATGTACTGTCAAAAGCACCGACTATGCCTACACAAACCGACGACGGCCCTTGGGACGGGCCTCAGTTCGCCTCGACGATCTCGTCTCTCATATATTAGCGTCCAAGCGAACTATACATGCATGTAACCGGCGTTGTAGGCTCCTTTGATGTATGGTCTTTGAGCCATGCAGAGCGTTTGTACTTGTATTCTGAAGTCGGCAATTCGCTTCCGAGCAGTCCGAAGCCGTCTGTTTTCTCAGTGGCATCGATGACCCGTTCCCAGTATGGCGTACATATTGGCCCTGGCTTTTGACAGCAATCGGAACGGGACAACCCCCAATCTGTCGATAAGGTTGGCGGCCTGGCGACCTGATCGTATGACGAAAACGATAGTCAAACTCTATCCCCAGTCTTGCTTTCGCACGCACCATTCATGCGATGTTGTTTCATCCCTCGCGCGAAAAGGATCCACCCGATCACGTGCGATCACGGCTAATCTCCCCAGCGGTCTCTCGTCCCTGCTTTTCCTTGAGGCAATGAAGTATCCATAAAGAGCTTCCAGATTGATGGTGTATTGCCAGAAACTTGAGACGAGTAAGAAGATGCTTCTCCACGGTCTCCTACGTCACGACTGGATCAAAGTTCATCATGAATAGATTCTTCAAGAAAGTCAACGACGAACTCGCAAAGCAAAGGGCACAGCGTAAGGAAGATACCCCGTACTATATGGATTCACAACAGATCAAGGATTACCAAAGCATACTCCACGTACAAACCAGGACTTTGTTCAATCTCATGGCGGCGGAGATCCGTCAAGAGCCGGATCCTGTGGTGCAAGAGAAGATAAGGTCCGGGATGAAAGCTTCTAAACGCTATCTGAAAGATCATCATTTCGACGACATGAAGGCACTTCTGTTGAAAGAAGTGGAATCAGCTTACAAGAGGAAACATCCTCGCTCTACTTTACACCCCCGGTTTCACGAGGATTTCACAGCCGATTGGGTCCGGAAGTCGGCGGAGGGCGAGACTCCGGTCAAATGGGCGTTTGAAGTGACCACGCCGATGATATACAAGTGCGGTCTATGGGAGCCCCGATCCCGCCAATTTATCCCTATCGCGAGCAAAGACATCCCCGGTGCTACTTGCTCTAGTTACGAAGGCTCGCTCGGAGTTCCGCTGCTCGAAATCGAGACCTTACCCAAGGAGCCGACCGCCAGGGACGACACGCACTCAGTCTCAGATAGAAAATCGACCGTTGCGACGATGAACAGCTCTGTTGGTCTCGGTTCTCGTGACTAGTCGGAAGTTGAGACCGACGCTCCTCCTGAGTACACCAAACTCGCGGGGAAGTCGGCAGATTCACAAAACTCATCGAATTTGCAAAGCGGGATGTTTGAACCAGTGCCCAAAGACGCTTGGACGGACAGTGGCACAACGGACCTCAAGGGATGACCGCCTCCATACGTTCCCTGACCCAATATCAGGCCTTCCTGTAGGCTGTCATTGTATGTGCTTCTCCTTGTACTACTGCTGCCGAGCTCCTGTTGTCTACACGGCTGTTTGCGATAGCGAACCAAATTCTCATGTCCGACGCAAGTCGTACGTATTCCCCGCCTTCAATGCTGGTGCAGCATCGCGATCAGCTGACGTAATGGTCAGTCTGAAGGTCAAATGACGGCAAGGTGCGAATTTGATTATGATGAGGTAGTCTACGAACGGATCATGCGACAGAATAGTATCGCAATGGGAAGCTCAGTCGGTTCGTATATCGTGATATCGCGCCATATCAGCGTTCCAGTCAGCTGACTAAGAAGCACGGTCATCTCACCAGCTGACTGGAGACCGGTCGGCTGACTAGCGAAAATGTTGCGAGATGTCAAGCTACCCTAACCCACGTTTACCTCGTACGTATTGGAGCAGAGGAAAAGGAAGCAATTGCGACAATCAGAGATTGGGTCATGGGACGACGGCGCTCCTGGGAAGCAAACAAAGGAAGATCCAAGGCCTCAACTTCTCTAATCAACGATTTTCAATCATCTGCCTAACTATAAGAGGCGCCATTGCGAGCATTTTAGTTCTTTCGAAGCGTATGACAAAGCCTACCCTCTTCCCAATTTGTCGCAAGTTCGATCGCAAAGTTTACCGCAGTCCCAATCGCTGCATTTCTGGACTGAACATGTCTTCATCGCTGCTCTCAAACATCGTTGGCTCCGTCTTCACAACATCCGGCTCGCGTGATTTCGACAAGTTCAGAGATATCGCGATTGGCTGCCTTTGGCACATGTGTTTCAGCATCCGGGACAAGGTCGATACGTTCCGCGACAGGCCGTCCAAGCTGAAGTGGCTGATGGCCAGATCTTTCGAAGGAGATTTCGAAGCCGAGGAGAAAGCGGTGCTGGAACAGATCAAGAAAGTGGCCAAGAAAAAAGGTCTACATCTGCCCGACGACTTCAGTCCTGACATCGATATCAGGTGGTGGCCACGTGGACCAGTTTTTAAGGAGAACGAGCATGATGACTGTGAGATTGAAATCATCCTCGAATCCAACGACTCTACGTGTGGATTCTTTCCGAACTGGAAGAAGAATGAGGAACATGCAATCAAGCAAAGATTTACACTCTTCTCGTTCGGATTGGCTGACGCAGATTCAGCTAAGGATCCATCCTTCACCGCAACTGAACCTTCAATCGAACGGGATACCCTCAAGAGCTTCGAGACTTACGAGTCGAGGAGAGGTACTTCTATCGTCTGAAACTCTCGCAGACGTTCTGTAGCTGTGCATCTGATTCCCCCTTGTACCACATCCATTCTGGCATTCTTTCTTGTGCCACCTCTGCCGAGTCCTTGTAAAGCCTTTACTGTAGATCGAGCGTCCTGTCCGTTATCGAATAGAAATCCCCATGTTCAACGTAGATCGTACATCACTTTCCCAACTTCACCATCGTTCCAACCCTTCCGTCCCAGATTCCTTTCCCCGATCCGCGACGCTTCTCATCGTTCTCCTCTATGGGTCTTCGAACCCGGTGGTAGGCTGACGTGCTCGGTTAGGCACTGTGGTTGCCGGTTGGATGTCAGGTTGTGGGTTTCAAGCCATCAAGGCCGATAGCGTAGAGTGTGTTATTGTCGAAATATAGGGTGGGGAAGGGGCATCCGAGGGATAAGAAGTTGATGTTGAGAGAAGGCGTGAAGGAATTCGGTAAAGTATGATCGAACGAATTGATTGCGAGTCCATTTCCAGCGTAGATCCAGCAGACGGGCAGAAACGCAAGAGGCGACAAGGAATAGAAGATCGGATAGTCAGCTACTGTATCGATGACTATCATCGGCAGCTGGCGTTACTAACGAGGGAACGTCGTCGGGATCCTCTCTGAAGGCTTCCATCCCATCGATTTCCGGATAGGCGGTACGGTCAAGGCCATCACGGGTCCTACAAAATCGCCCAGCCATTTAACTGTCTGGTTCAGTCTCATAGCACATCAAAAACGTTGATCCAAAGGCGGGATCTCACCGACGGCACCGAGTCCGAAAGACCAGAAGATGACGGGCTGCTCGTGAGCCATTCGTTGCTGCCGGATCCACTAATCATGTCAGCTTGCAAGCTAACGGAGCTGTAACACGAGATATGGACCGGCCTACCAGATACCTGTAGACTCCCGACATGATTGCTATGTACCGACAAGTGAGCTTAGAGATCTGGCTTATGCTGCTCCGAGACTGTACCCATTCGACGTTGACAATTACAGGTACATGAATGCGGTCAACGGTCGAGGTCACATACTATCAACTTAATTCAATTACCAAATATACTGACGTGTCATTTTGAAACTACTGCTAATTCGGATGACGTTTCTTCGGAATCAAATTCGCTTCCGTGATTGACCTTGTCCCTCGACCTCGGATTGATAGGGCGGTGAGTGCAGTCAGAGAGGGTCATCAAGCAGCAACCGCTACGTGCTAGATACAAGCAAAGTATCACAGCTCTTCAACATACCCTAGCTTCTATCTCATACCTTTGACCTCGGAACGAAACTCTCGCATCTCTGCCCCGCGATCGACACCCGACCATACAAGGTGGGTCGTGATCGGCACTCCCACCCGTACTCCGTCAGCCGCGAGCCGGTACCGGCCGTACTGTACTGACACATCCGATGTACCCCTGCACCCTTTGCCATTCGCCGCATGACGTCTCTGACGCTCAAAGGACTTTAGCTACCAGTTACTAGATACCGGGGAGATAGTCATCTGGACTACGTTATAATCTTCAGCTCAAGAGTATCCTCGGTCAAGCACTATTACAGCAACTTTACCCAAGCTAATCATCTTCAGCTACATCTCATCATGAGGTAGGCCTGATATCCCAGTTCTGATCACCACTTATGAGAGCTGATCAGGATCGTATCATCCTACCTCTTCACCACTGTCTCTGTGCTGATATAATCGGATGATATCTCCTCTCGCCACCTCCGCACAGCTCTCCGAAACGAAGGACCGATACGGACGTGATGAAGCTGTAGGTACTTTCGCCTCTTGCCCCTATCATCTCGCGACATATCGTCCACCTTGCGCAGCCAGCGGAAGGCTCGTGCCCGATTAGCTCAACCGTATCGAATATGCACGCAGTAGCTGATGATTTCTGCATCTTTTCGTTACGTTTGGGGGGCGTCCCAGGTTGATGTCCGATTACGACGTCAATCTCGTCAACGATAGCATGTCCGAGTTCTTTGTCAAGTTTCACGGGCCCAGCGAAAGTGAGTCCTCTCCGTCTCCGTCTTAGCTTTACAATCTGCATATCCATCCCTTCCACCGCATCGACAACTGACGATTTCCTATTCCTCTTCCTCGTCTCCTTCCCTCTTCTTCCCGCCATCGTCGTTTTCACCACCAAAACCATCATTACTCCCGCCTCTCTTGTCAACACAAACAGCTCCGTTCGAAACCGGCTGCTGGAAAATCCACGTAGAACTCCCCGCTCAGTATCCGTACAAGTCGCCCTCGATCGGGTTCATGAACAGGATCTTTCACCCGAACATTGATGAGATGTAAGTCCACTTGTATAGGGGAAGTGATAGGACACTAGAGGAGAGGTTCCGGAGAGAATTGAGGCTGACACGATGTTTGGCGCAATGTGCACGTGGGAGCAGAAGCGGGTCGGTCTGTCTGGATGTGATCAACCAGACCTGGTCCCCGATGTACGGTAAGTCGGCATATCTATCCTTCTCGCGCCTCATCCACTACCCGACTAATACTCTTGACAAACAACCCACTATATCAGAGCTGGTCAACATCTTTGAAATCTTCCTTCCCCAGCTCCTCCGATACCCAAACCCCTCGGACCCCCTCAACGGAGAGGCTGCCGCTCTGCTCATGCGGTCCCCCGACCAGTACAACACCCGGGTCAAGGAGTACGTCAAGAAGTATGCTTCGCAGGAAGCAGCAGAGAAGGCCGGTGATAAGAAGGAAGACGGCAAGGAGAAGACGGGCACGGCCGGGAAAGATGGGGATGATGACAGCGACGAGGATGAGGACGACGGAGAGATGAGCGACATGGGAGATATGGGATCGGACGAAGAGGTCGCTGGGGATTTGGACCTCTAGTTGGAACGACCTTTTCGCTGGCCCTCCTCCGCACCTCGTCGTTTGATTGCTCGCTCTTCATCTCGCCTCGACTCGACTCCCGTTGTACAGCCTTTCATGACACCCCGCATCTTCTGGGCTTCGCGTCTATCCCAATTCCAGGACCGCCTCTGCCGCCTTCAATCCAGCCACTCGAGCTACCGAGGATCCGCTCTCGGACACACCTCGACAAACCGGTATACCAGTAACGAAGGATCGCATTCTCTCTCATCATTCTCCCAGACCGACTCGACTTGGCTTGTAACATCAGACCCCGCCTGAATGTGTAGTATCGAATGATAATAGCATAAATGGTTCGTTTCACCTATCTACCTGTGCGTATATATGGTCGTATGGATCTTCCTATTCTTTTTCGTTGTTGATCGTGTCTAGTTCTCGTAAATCATGGGTATGTCGTAAGTGAAGGTTGGATGTAAGGAAGGGATGGAATCAGGATGAGAGGGTTCAAGGTGGTTCGTAAAGCGGGCTCAGATTGTTCAGTCCGTATATTTCTCATTCCGAGTTATTTATGGTTGATCTGATAGTTCGGCAGTTCGGCTGCGCTAATCCAGATGGACTTGGGCGGTGAGGACTACACTGCCTGCTCACAAGACGGGTGTAAGTTTTTGACGGAATGCAAAAGTAGCGGGACATACTAGTTATACCAGTAGCCTTCGACTGTTTTCTCACGCGCACTGGCTGACCCGATTGCGGACCATAGTCTCCGCCTTCGGACGTCGTCGACCAGGTTAGGATCGAACCAAGGATCCAACTCGTGTAGAAAGTAGGTGCGCGCGTGTGTGTAATCAAGGATTACCGGGATTATTTCTCCAGGATTACTGGGATTATTTCCCCAGGATTACTGGGGACTGGGGTGATGCTTAGTCAGCATCACCTAAGCTGGGACCTCACCCCGGTGATGAAAATCTCGGACAACTAAATCATCAATATACACCACTTGACTGTTAGATCTCAAGCAATATCTTGAGTTCTAACAGGTCAGTACCTTTGTATTGACTGATAGCACATGCCATTGATAAAGCAATATCTTGAGTTCTAACAGGTTATGAGCCCAGCTGTTGACCCGTCTTCTCTACATGTCAACTTCTAATCAGCCACGTCGACAGATCGACCTAGAACTTGAGATAGACCAGTCAGATAGACATCTTCTGCTACACCGGATAACAGGAAGACCACCCCTTCCCTAGACATTAGTAAACCGATCATCTCCATTACCTCACTGTCCTTCACCATCATGTCCGACGACGAGATCACCACCAAAGGACCCAAGGTCATTGTCCTTGCCCGAGCCGGGGTCAACTATGTCGAATGGCTGGAGTCCATTCGAGACCTCTTGGCCATCAAACGCCTGCTTCCTTATGTGAAGTATGATGCCAAGGGTGAGCCGGTCAAGCAGAGACCGGTTCTTCCGGAAAAGGGGGACATCACCGAGAAGATGACAGAGGCTGCTGAAGACTACGACCTCAAATGTGCCCAGGCTCTGGGTTACATCCGGCCTTCGCTTGGGGTCAACAAGCGATCGATCCAGGGGATTGATCACCCGGCCAAGGCCATGTACAAGATCAAGGAGATCCACTCCAAGACCACCTCGTTCGATGTCCAGATCCTGATCGACGAGTTCGCCAACCTCCGGCCCATTGGAGACGACTTTGAGGGGTACATGGCGAGGTTGGATACGGTGGTTGAGGGTCTGGAGGCCAACGGGCTACAAAGGGAGGATGTGGAGATCATGGCCCAATGGTCTAAGTGTCTCCGATCCTACCCGGAGGGACACCCTTACTTCAAGGCTGGAGAGTTCCTTCAGTCGAACATCACCATGGGGGTCGATGTCAAGAAGGAGTCGGTCGAGAGGATGATTCTGGCCGCCTACCGTGACATTGCCAACAAGGAGATTGCCGAGAAGGATGAGGAGAAGGCCTTCCAGGCAATGGCAGCCAAATTTGGTTATGCCAAGATTGGGACCACCGGAGTTGGATTCGGGACCGGTGGTGTTGGGAGGCGGACCTTTGGGACCGGGACCGGGACCGGGACCGACACCAGGACCTGCAGGTGTTGCGGGCAGAGGGGGCATATCGCCAGGGAGTGTCCTCAAGCCGAACCCAATGGGTGCCACTCCTGTGGCAAGGCGGGACATCGGGCTCCCACCTGCCCTCACCCGGACATGGTTGCCTACAGGCAGAGGCACGGAGGAGGAGGATCGGGACCGGGATTTAGAGGTGGTGAAAGGGCCGCTGCCGCTGTATCTTCTTTTGATGCCGCTATGCAATCCATGACCCTCTATCAACGTCAGCCCGATCAAGCCTTGAACATAACTGAGAAGGCTTACTCACTTGCGACTAGGAAGATGACAACCCTGATCGATTCGGGTTGTTCAAGACACATGTTTGGGATGAAGAGGTTCTTTGACCTATCTCCAAACTACCGGAAAATGACGGCACCTGTCATGGTTGGAAACGGACAGGTGATCTATGCTGAGGGGATGGGCGACATCTTCTTGACCATCGAGGTTGGAGGAAAGAAGGCAGAGCTACATCTTGCAAACTGCCTGTATGTTCCCAAACTCAGTTCGAACCTGATCTCGATCTCACAGCTGGACAAAGCCGGATCGGACATCATGTTCACGGAAGGCAAGGCGATCTTGAGGAAGAACAACAAGATGACCTTGATCGGCAAGATGTTGGATACCAACCTGTACGAGGTCAATGCAAAGTCTCCGACATTACCTAAGATGGATTCAGCCAACACGGCATCGATCTCAGGACTGGGGAATATCTGGCATCAACGGCTGGGACATCTGGGTGGGAACTCGATACGGAATCTTAAGGATTTGGTGGATGGGTTTGACCAGACGTCTGTCCCACACCAGTGTGAGAGCTGCATTCTGGGAAAGATGACAAGAGCTCGATTCCCGGACAGCTCATCACGGTCAACAGAACCACTCCAGCTGATCACCTTCGATCTTGCTGGGCCTTTTGATGAGGCTATCGGAGGAGCCAAGTACTTCATGATCATGGTCGATGATTACTCCAAATACTACCACGTCGAACTCCTCAGGACCAAGTCAGAGGCAACCCGATGGTTGAAACAGGTTCTGACTCAATGGGAAAACCAGTTGAGTCGATCAGTCAAGGTTCTTCGGTCCGATGGTGGGGGAGAATTTGACAACAGAGCGATCAGCCAGTTCTGTGAAGAGAAGGGGATCCGAGCTCAGATGACTACAGCTCGAACACCAGAACAGAATGGGGCAGCAGAGAGAGCTGTCCGGACCATCAAAGAGGGTACTCGGACTCTCTTGATCGATTCCGGTCTCAGTAACAAGTACTGGGGTGCTGCTGCAAAGAACTTTGCATATGTCAGGAACCGGACCCGGACCGCAAAGACAGGAGAGAAGACACCGATAGAACTCTTCACTGGAAAGAGACCATCGGTCAGTCATCTGAGGTATTATAGGCGTCACGTGACGCGCGACCTACGGTGCGCGTCGCCTCGGGGTCTCGTTCGGAGACCCCCTCGGAGACCCTCTCGGAGACCTTTTAGGAGATGTTCTCGTAGACGTCTAACTAGTACCTTGTAGTAGTTAGACATCCGTTATTACATTACTATGCCTACCGTTACCTTTCCCCAGTCCCGCGACCTTATTACCTCAAGACCCGGCAGGTCGGCTGCCAGGCCTTATAGAATAACGGATCACCAAAGGACCCCGGCTGGGAACGTGAAAGGGGGTAGCGATGGGATCCCGCTGCACATTGGTGCTAGCGGTAACCCTAGTGGTCCGGAGAGCCACCTCACTCTGGTAGGAGTGTTCTACCCGCAGGGGATTCCTGTGCAGGCAGTGATGATGGTAGATTCGGGGGCCACGGGTATGTTCATGGATCGGACGTTCGCGAGGATCCATAACTTTGATGTGATAGACCTAGAGAACCCTAGGACCGTCACGGTCATCGACGGAAGAGAGATAGTGGGTGGTCAGATCACCCAGAAGGCACATGCTATTGTGCGGACAGGATTGCACCAAGAGAAGGCGGAGTTCTTCTTGACGGATTTGTGTGGGTACGCGGCGGTCCTCGGGATTACATGGTTACGACACCATAGCCCACACATCCAGTGGGATACAAATACAGTCACCTTCGCGGACGACTGTTTGAAGAAAGGATGCGTCAAGAAGGTAGAGGTAGTATGCTCCCCCGACGAGGTGGAGATAGAAACGCGGAATATCGATCCGCTGTCGAGAATGAAGGAGCCGATCACGGAGAATCTCGTGGTGGCTCAAATGCAGATGACGAGGGAGGATGAGGAGCGGGCCCGCAGGCCGGACCTGTGGGACTGGGACGTCAAGCCCACCGACTCGATTCAAAACGAACTCGATCCTCCCGAGTACATGGAGAAGTTGCGGGACGTTGTGCCGAAGAAGTACCATGAGTACCTCGGAGCGTTCTCCAAGACGAAGGCAGATTCGCTGCCTCCGAAGCGCTCGATCGATCATGCGATCGAGCTGAAGCCTGGAACAACTCCCACGTATGGGAAGTTGTACAACCATTCGCAGAAGGAGACGGACGCTCTCAAGGCGTGGTTGGCGGAGAACCAGGCGAAAGGGTTTATTCGACCCTCGAAATCCTCGTGTTCGAGTCCGGTACTGTTCGTACCGAAGAAAGGGGGCGAATTGAGGCTGTGTATTGATTACCGCCGCCTCAACGAAATTACCGAGAAGGACAGGACCCCCCTGCCGCTTATCTCGGAGACCTTAGATCGCCTACGGGGATCGAAGGTATATACGAAGATGGACCTGAGGGGAGCGTACAACCTCCTGAGGGTCAAAGAAGGGGATGTTTGGAAGACCGCGTTCACGACACGCTATGGTCTGTTCGAATGCCTCGTCATGCCATTTGGTTTGACAAACGCGCCGGCGACGTTCCAGCGCTGGATGAATCAGGTCTTCCAGGACATGTTAGACGTGTGTGTGGTCGTCTACTTAGACGACATATTGATTTACTCCGCCGATCAGGAGACA